TACCAGGTGAAATCAGAACCAAAACCAATTCATCATCAAGCAGGAACTCTCAGGCCAGTCTGCTTGTGACCATCGAGAGCAAATATCATCTTTACAATTGTGAAGTGTGATCTGARGGAATTTAGGACTCAAAACTTTGAGTGCTGGAAAAAAAGAAACATAAATATAGGAATTGAAAAGAGATAATTTTCAAAGTCATATGGATGGTGGGAAATGAGACAGAAATAAAGACTACCATGAAAATCTCAAGAATTCATGTTAATTTTTATCTTAAACTCCCAGCATCAAAATATCTCACTGCTGCAATTGACAGCGAATATATTTATGTCTTTCTTGGTGGTTAATGCACAGAATTGTCTAACTTCATGTTTCTTCATTTTATCATACACCCTTGCCTAATTTTGGAGTTATTATGAGAAAAACAGCATTCGTGTCTTAGCACTTATGGCACAAAAAATGTCATTAAGTGCATGTCATCTTTCAGGTTAAACTTTCAATTTCCTTTATATGAATTTTGACAGATGGYCTAGATAAAAATCAAATCTGAGTAATGTGATGATTACCTGAGTGATATGATGACTACCAACTTCCTATGTTAAATCCCTGACTAAACAGACAGCTTTAACTGACKGTTGAGCATAGTGTTGTTAAACTTGGAAATTCCACAACTGAATGAACATTTTTTGCCCTACAGCAATAAGAAAGTATTAAGGCTATTACATCTGATTTTCATTCTTTTACCATAGCCATCAGGGCCCAGAATTGAATATTACAACTGAAGAAAAGGAAATTAGAGTGATCAATTTGGAAAAAATAGTCCTTTTCTCTATTCATAATTTTAAAATCAGCAGATTTTTATTTTTGCACTTTTTTGATGTTTTTTTTTTACATTCCCAGGTTTTAGGAACCTATTTGAGCTGTGATTCTTCCTGAGAAAGCTTCCAGCCATGAGTGCTGTTCACACTGAGGTATTCAAGYTTTATGATTAAGTTGTCTTACATGACTGGGTGATTTCATGTATAAAATAACATCTCCCTGCACCCCATGATGAATTTTCTGTGATGGTGAATTTTATTTTAGGCCCTATAAAAGACTCTCTTGGCATTTAACATTTCATAGTGTCCARTCTTTCACATAAAACATAACATATATTCTCACATTGYTAGTAAAAGGYGAGTTAAAAAAGAAACCAAGAAAAGTCAAATTGAAATGATTTTTGCATGGCACACTGAGAGAAACCAGGTCTTTATTAGGCTGCATCCAGCTATGCCCCCTGCCCTGACATCTCAGGAAACAGATCTACATTATCATGGGGAAATCAATGAGGTTTGCTGCTCAATATGCMGCACCTGTCAATAGTGCAAATAAAATCTGTCTCAGACTGTGCTGGAAGGGWAACAGAACAAAAATAATGCAGAAAAGTCAGTTGAATGTTAAAGGTGTACACTGAGATTTTGGGATTCCTAGATTTAATTTACATCTYATTCTTCCTCTGTGAGTAGTCCAAATCAAAAGAAAGACTTATGATCATTAAGGGGGATTTAGATGGGGTTTGTGTTTTGTGAATCCAAGACTCTGATCCTTTAAGGCACCTCTTGGTCTCATAGGTGTGTGGAAGACATTGACATTTTTAAGAAGGAGGATCCTTGGGGTCAGAGCCACGGTTGGACTAACACACAGCACAGCATCACCTTACCCCCAACACTGCCAGGATACTCACTGTAGTGATATCTCAAGGATCAGAAATAGTTAAAAATTTAATCAGAGCTATAGAAAATGAGAAAGGAGTTGTGAAACAGTCCTCCTAGCCTCAAAGGAAGGACCCTGAACAAAGGAGTCCTTCCAGGGAGTCTGGGGTCTTCTGGCTGAGGCAYTGGGTTGTTGGTTCCTGCTGTGTCTCTTGTCATTTGGATGGTGACACARGTCCCCATGCCCTTTGGAATGCCAGGGGTGGGTGCCAGTTCACAGCCTCTTGCCTCARATCTTGATCTGCATCTTGCACACCAAGAGGACTGGATAAATGGTAATTCCATTGAAACCACCAGCTCAGGGACTACTGACTCAAGAGAAGARAAAGACTGAGCATGCAGACTAATTAGTACATTAGACAGCATTAGTACTGCATCTCATGACATAAAGAGCAATTAACAGGAGTAATGAAAGAAAAAGGAACAACAAAATCCCAGAAAAGATGCACCACATCTATCTTTAGTGCAGAAACGACAAAGTGTTATAGGAGTTTTTGCTAAAATTAGTGCAATTGAATGAAAAATATTAGCTCAAAATGGCGTGTCCTGAAATGACCCATGCCTAAAAGAAAACCTAATGACATCTTTCAAAGCGTTTCGTCTTCTGTTTGAAGTTCACAAATAATCACCATTACCATAAGGGCTTCAGGTAACTTTCAGTATACAAGCTCTACCATTGCTCTTGGGAGCCAAAGCAGTATGATTAGCTTTATTTCTGAAAAGACACATTTAATTTGGTATTGCAGGATTTTTGAAAGTGTTTGCATGTGTATGGAGTTGGAGTAGCATCAAGTTTTCCAAATATAGGAGCAGTTAGGTACTGAAGCACTATCTGTTTCTTTAGAAATCTGAATACTTTTACAATAGTACTTTTCATTGTTTTGGAAACAGCAAGCATTGCAATTACAGCCTCTTTTCCTTCAAACCCAACTCAGTATTTCACCAGACCATGCTGCATCAGACCAACATGAGCTGTTTACATCAAACCTTCAGTCACATTGTTTCACACAGCAGAAGTAATAAATTCACTTACTTGTGCAAGTCTTGTTGTATTTAGGGTTCTCCTGAGGAAACCCTACCAACCGGCACTGGAACCTGTGCTGCCAAAATTCCTGAAACCATGGATTTCGATGGTTGGTTTCTGGCCGAAGCTGTAGGTAGTAATCATCAAACCATTTCACATCTGGAGACTGCAGCTTGATTGTTATTCCCCCAACAGCTTCGTTCTGGTACCCTTCTGTCACRTCATACCTGTCTGCCCAGCCATCACTGCAGGGTAAAGGAAAACACACAACATTAACCATTCAAAGGAGTAAGAAATGAGTTTCTATAACATTGAAATTCAGAGCTGAGAGCACACACATCAGCAGTTGTGATTCTGAGTGGAGTGTTGTAAAGCACCTGTAATTCTCATAGAGGAATAATTCAGTGTTTTACTTACATTTGTTTGACATAGGCACCTTCTGCTTAAATTATCTATTCCACATCCTCCAGGTKAGGCAATTGAAACAACATTAAAAATCACAGATCCTGAAATCTGCTATCTATATGTGCATCTCTGCATTGCTTAACCTCACTGAGCTGTGGGGAGAGAAAACCTTGGATTCAGTGTTTCCCTGACACAGGGCTCATATTACTCTTACCTGAGAACATGTGACTTTGAGGACAGGACCTYTATACTGTGCAAAGGGCAGAGCTGTGCTACAGACCATGTCCATACTTTGTGATGGAGCATGGCACAAAGAGCCAGGAGCAAGCCTTGGATGGGCTGGCAGTGTTCAAACAGAAACAGCAGCACAGAGACAACATGGCATTGCATCTGAAGCAATAAATCCCCTCTGCAGACATGACTGATGAAACTGGGCAGAAWCCTGCAGATCCAGGTGTTGCTCCTGTTTCTTGGTTGCTTGTGGCTGGGACTTTATGGGGTTGTGTGACGCTGTACTGCACAGAGAATTTTAATCCTCCTTTGTTAACCTTCCAGCTTGCAACACTCCCACCMTAAGGAGATAGAAATAACTTAAAGCCCCATTCAAACAAAATACCACAAACTTCTCAGGGCAATTTCCCTCTCCCCAGTTTCACAATGGATTTCTTGGAAGTACTGGCATTTATGAAGCTTCACTCAGCACTAAAAATGTACATATCTCATTAGAGCATTAAAGATTTCTTTTGTTTTATCATGAACATCATATTTCAGTTTTTAAAAAGCCCCAGGTCTTACAGTTAGAGACTTTCAGAAGAATCTTGGATTAACAATTTCCCRCTCCCCACCAAAAAGTCACTGTGAATATAGAGAGCACCTTTAAAACCTAAAAGTTGGATGATTGAAGAACAAAAAATATGCTCAACTTGTCTTATTTTAAGACTTCATGATTTGTTTAAAGCTAGCCCTTCTGCAAGTTAGTCATACTGTAAGTGATGCAGGTGACCTTTATCTGTGTGGATCTGTTGTTCTATTTTGATCATTCACTGACTGTCTTAAACTTTTCTTGGGTACTGCAGAGCAGGCAGGAATCCTGCTGCAGACACCTGGTCCCCAGCACATTCCCTATGCTGTGCACTCGGCTCTCCTCACACAGTGCAAAAGCCCTCAGTGACTCCTGCACGATTTCAGCAAAGCCTGGACTCGACTATGCCTTCTAAGCACTGCTGCAATGTCAGTAAATAGCAGCTTCACCAAGGGGAAAAATAATACCCASTGTCTGCAATGAAAATGAAGGGACCATAAAACATGTTTTGGATTTCAAACRCACTGATTTACTCAGCACAGAAGAATAAAACATCCATTCACAAAAGGAGAAAGATGAACGTGCTGTTCTGCTCGAATACAGCACTTGGAAAATTTACCTTCCAGCTTAGGGATGAACACAGGTGTGAATGTTCCCAACTGCACTCAAGAGGCTCAGTAAGACAAACATCCCCCTCTTCCWCTGGGACTTTTTTACTGGACAGAGTTAAAAGCCCTTACAGGGTGTTTTGTGATAAAAGCTGCAGAAGGTGTTTTAAATTTATGACTGGTTTAACCTTTCCTTTAAAAGATTCATCTTAATCTTTGGCAAGTATTTAAGTAGTTTTATCCACCCTCATAAAACCTGCCAAGTTTTTGAAAGCAGGAAGTGATAGGTTTTGTAGTGTGGGATTTTTTTAAGTTGGGTAGAATTTAAAAGAATTTTAAAGAATTAAAGCCATGCTGTCAGTATCCCAGCTTTATGACTTGTCTCATAGACAACCTAGAAAAAAGCCTGTTTTCTTGTAAWTAATTTTTTATCCAGCAGGGTGCTATAAAATTTATAGTATTACTTTGTGATTAGCTATCCTCTCTGAAAAGATTTGCAACAGATATTCAATTTTATACCTACAAATTATTAATAAAAGATGGAAATGACAACTACATATTACACAACCCTCCTCATCTTTTCTGCAGGAGTGCTTCTTAATTCAACAGGGCCGCTTTGCATTCAAATAAGTATTTCAGCTTAACTTCTTGGGCAAAAGTAATTTAGGAATATGATATAAATCCACCTCAARGTATGTATTGTACAGACAACGAGATAACAAAGTCTCAGACAATGTGAAAAAGCAAAGGCTGAACTGTTATCCAAAGGCTGGCTAAAGTRGAGTAGGTACACAGGACAGAATGAATATTAAAAAAGCTAGTGGTTGGTGACAGAGATAAAGGGTGAACCAAAAAGTGAGAAGGTGATCTAGAAAACAGACTTGATTGAATTAGCTGAAGATTAACAGCCTAAAGAACCAAACACAATTCTAGGGGAGAGATGTGATATCTGTCTTCAGTAGATCCAAAGTATCAGCAAAAACATCAAAAATTTTTTATCATAACGAGATAAGCATTCCGGACTTAAATTGAAAGACACATCTTAGACACCAGGAAAATATCCTCACAGTAAAGAGAATGAGGAACTAGAATAGCTTGGAGATTCTTAGAGGTGTCAGAGATGAAATAGACAAGCATCCATTTGATACAAATGACCCTGCCTTGGTGAAGGGATGACAGAAGGCTACCGGATGTCTTGACATCCACAATGCCTTAGCTTATGTTGAGATTTGACATATGTCTGGGAAGGATGATTCCATAAAACCCAGYAGATTACAGAAAAAACACAAAGAAAGCTAAAATAATACCCCCCCTTCACAACCTCCCCAGGTTCTCATAATGTTTCAATTTACTTATTTTTTTCATTATTGTATTTTTTTTCTCTCTCTGCATTGCTGTAGGAAGCAACAAGCAAGAGAAATTTTTTTTTTTTTTATTATTATAAATCATGTGTTAGACTACACATACAGCTAATTCCAGTGATGCAGTCAGGAGTGTGCACTGGGTCAAAATTACTTTAAATAAAACCAAAACTGCTTAATCTCTCTTTTGTTGGGTGAAAGGAAGGTTTTTAGATATAATCCCCAAATAACRCTTTCTCAGTATAATTAAGATAATCCTTTGAGTTTTTAAAACAGAAAATAAATTCTATTTTCCCTAATTGAGATATTTTGTTTGACAGTCTGAGATAAACACAGTTTAAGGCCACTTGCTCAGTTTTGAATATCCATARCATCAATTCTGTAATATTGGCCCTACATGTAACACCTATACGTTACTTCCATAGTTCAAATCACCTTGGTCATGGGAAATGAAACTCCAAAACCAGTGAGTCCATGATATCGTATTTGAACAACTGCAAAATGATTTGCACAAACTTACATGCCTACACACTACATAGACACAGATTTTATTTTTAAATATTGCAAGTCTTTTATACTGTTTAAGAAATTTCTTAAATCTCAGCTCTAGGGTTCATAATATTGACTTCAGTGAATATTTTCAGATTCTTGAGAAGTCTTCCAGGAAGTAAGGAAATGCTGCCACTTTTTAGGGACAGCTGGACTAAAAAAAGATTCAAAGAAGAAAATCCTATGCTGATAAAGGGATTAAATAAATACTATAATTCATTATTCTTCCATTCAGCACCACAGGACAGCTTCAGATTTAAGTATTCCTAAACAATGTCAGTGCCTGTTATGGTTTTGTTTCTTTCCATGCAGTATCCTGACAGAGTTGGAACTTTACTGTTCTGAGAATTTGACATGTAGAAAAAACAATACACAGCCTGTGACTTGGAGATCAGTAACTACAGTCTGCTTCAAAATTTAGCAAGAACATATGCTGGATAATACAAGAGGTGTTGAACAAACAGGTACACTGTACAAACTGAGAGTTCCTAAAGCTGCTGCAACCCTTTTCAGTCACTATTTTGTGAATATTTGACAATCAGATAATTTTAATTTTATTGCATGAGTAAATTAAGCAACAGTGAGTTGCAAATACAATTTTTTTTGCTATTGTGGGTAATTTTTGAAAGCTGGTAACTTTAAAAAATAGGCTATCAGTAYACACCTGATACCTTGATAAGCTATCAAGGTATCAGGTTTATTCTACCAAGATCTAACAGGTATTATTAAGAATATGCWATCATAGAGTTTTTGGGAACTAACTAAATAACTAGGACAGTAGAATTGCCTGCTTTAGGTTGCTGCCAGTCCTGGGTGGAAGAAGGCAGAAGGTCTAATATTAAACCAACTGCAACTGTAATCTGGAGGACATCCAGAATGCCAGCTGGAAGTGSTGTTCCTGCAGCAGCTCCTCCTCTTGGGACCTGATGCCCTCTCTTTTTACACCAGTGCTATAGAGGACAGACAGCTGGAGAGTTGTCTGCTAGTTGGGTCCATTAGGTGATTCACTGTGCTGAAAGGAATCTTTCAGTTGTTGGTTTTGGACAAGCTATGATCAGTGAAATGTCATGAGTGAGCTGGCGAACATGGCCTTAGGATTCCTGTGAAAACCACCTGGAAAATTCAGCACACATCCTAAACCTCTGTTTAGGAGATTAGACAAAATACTAAGAGACACGTGTGTACAACAAAAATAGACACCCTTTGCAAAACAGTTCCACTGATTTTCTACATTGAAAATGCAGCAGGGTCTTGGAATCAGTTGAGTTGATTTCTTTTTCTCTGAAGTCCTTTTCAAGCTATAGCTAACACTATTACAGTTAATGAGTGCATTCATTAGGCTGTAGACTGATCTTTTTCTTGTTATGCAAAAATCTGTTTGCAGCCAGGCCACATAATGATGATGGAAACTGCTGTTCTGCCCACATCTAATCAGATTCCTGCCAAAAATCTGACCGATAGCATTTGAAAATGTATTTCTCCACCTGTGTAGGAGTTTTTGTCTAAGTGGCTGCCTTTCA